GGCCGACTCGAGTTTGGTTCTAGGACTTTATGTCTCTTCTGGACGGCTCTCCCATGGAGATTCCGCTCGTGATTGACCTGCTGTCCCAGGCAGGGGGCAAGATATTTCACCCTCGAACGGAGTTGTGGAAACCTCTCAACTGAGGTCGTTGAGACCATTCTCCATTCCAGAGCCCCTTCCACGAGAAGACTGTATGCATTGAAATGGAAATTATTCTCATCCTGGTGTGGTGAACGTCCAGTTCGGGCATTAGATGTCTCCGTTCACAGAGCTGCCCTGTGGCGTAAGTCTGAACAATTATTTGTCTACTTTGGGTCACTCAAGAATTGGGTCCCCTGCATCTAAACAGGTTATGAGCAAATGGATAGTCGAGGCTATATCATTGGCTTATGAAGTGGCCGGACAGCCTTCACCTATCTACTAGGAGTATGGCGGCCTCTAACGGCCTTAATTACGGGTGTTTTCCTTCTTGAAATTTGTAATGCGGCAGGTTGGTCCTCTGCATACATTTGTTCGATTTTATGACCTTGACCTTTCCACTCCAGGGGCTAGGTTGCTTGCTTCTGGGGGCGGCAGTGGCTCAGTGGTTCATATGGGTTGTCTACAAACAGAAAAGGTGGTGGTTCAATCCTCGGTTCCACCTGACCTAGTGTCGAGGTGTCCATGAGCAAGACACCTAACCCCAGCTGCTCCCGACGAGCTGGATGGCGCCTTGTATGGCTGACACCGCCGTCGGTGTATGAATGAGTGTGTGAATGGGTGAATGTGAGGCAATATGTAAAGCACTTTGGTGGCCATTAGGTCTATGAAAGCACCATATAAATGCAGTCCATTTACCATTCTAAGTGTGCGCAAGGACTTCACACAGAACGGGCATTTCTCAGCATGGCGTAGTGGGTATGGGGTTCCCATCGCGTTCTAAGGCAGCTTGAGTTTCCCTTGAAAGGTAACCTCTCAGGTTTACGTATGTGACCCTGGTTCCCTGAGAGGGAACGAGAGCTGCGTTCGCCTGCCATACTTCCTGCCTGCCCTGATCAACTTGCTTCTGGTTTTTTCAGAAGCTGGCACAGTCTGACTTCAGGGGTACTTTATAGTTTCCTGGTCTATGACGTCACCCGCCTTGACGTTTCGGGCTTGCAATGGACTTCACAACGTAATCAAGCCGAGTTCCCTCACACACACATAAGTGTGTAATTTACTCAAATGCCTTTCCTTTCATATATTTAAAATGACTTGCAGATTTATAACTTTATTAGCTCTGAGTAACAAAAGATTTGTGCAATCCACAATGCCACCTTATCTTGTGCACAAGAAACCGTTGAAAAATAATGTTATGTGGTTATAAAAAAATGGACAACCATCCTTTTTTCTGCTGTTTATGTGTTTAACAAAGCCAAATCTAAATGTACCCTCATATATTTATTTAACTACCCCCATGGTAATCTCACCCCTAGGTGACAATCACTACTCTAGGACATATTTGGATCAGGATTGGTTCTATGCATTTACTGGAACTAATTCATCCCATGTTGGACAGAATGGATCACAAGAACTTCAAATATCTTTCTATGACATGTAGATGCAGATTCCCAGATCCATGTAGGGGGCTTCTTCTCTTCCCAATTCAAAATAAGAGTCCCTGTGTATTGTGATCTTTTTTATAATTAAAATTCTCACATAATGCATAGGATTAAGCAATAATGTGGATCCAATTGCTCTTTATGACAAATGCTCTCAGATCCCAAAAGCAAACAACAAATGTTTTTTATTATACGCTCATCAAAAAAAAAAAAAAAACATGATTCCAGAGCTCCCCAGTCCAGTTGTCTTGTCTTGTAGAAAGATAGTGTTTCTTGCAATTTTGCGATCCCCCAAAGTCACTTGTAGTGTGAACGCAGCTTACGTCATTTCATTATAATTTACGTTTTTGCTACTCAAATCTTGACTCTACATTGCTTTTCTTTTAGGTGAGTTTGAAGAGTGCACCATCCTCTTCAGTGACGTGGTGACCTTCACAGACATCTGCTCTGAGTGTGAACCCATCCAGATTGTTTCCATGCTCAATTCTATGTACCTGAAGTTTGACCGTCTTACCTCTGTACACAATGTTTACAAGGTGAACCTTAGTCATGATGATTTTTCTTAAATGTAAGACTAAACTGAAATCATTTTGATTTGAATGATATGTGTTACAACATGTGTTCGGCAGGTTGAGACAATTGGAGATGCTTACATGGTTGTCGGTGGTGTGCCAATCTTGATGTCAAGTCACACTGAGCGCGTTGCTAACTTCGCCCTAGGCATGATCATAGCTGCAAAAGAAGTTACTAACCCTGTGACTGGTTGCCCTATTCAGGTGATGGGGTTATCTATGATTAATACTTTAGACTTGAGATTCAGCGTTTCAGTCTGTAATGTCAAGCCATATACCTGCACTTTTCCATGAGAAGCATTATAAATCTTCAGAAGTTTTGTCTGTTTAGGAAAGAGTTTAGATTGATTTTTTCCAAAAAAATATAATTTTATCTTATTCATATCTTATTAAACACTCTCTGTTTTATATATACTTCTATTAAAGTGGTGTTTTGTGTCCCAGATTCGGGTGGGCTTGCACAGTGGACCGGTATTGGCAGGGGTGGTTGGTGAGAAGATGCCTCGCTACTGTTTATTTGGAGATACAGTTAACACGGCATCCCGAATGGAGAGTCATGGCCTGCCTGACAAAATCCACATTAGTCTCAGTGTTTATCAGTGAGAAGCATGAAAATATGTCCTCTATCATCTTACAGTTACTTCAAATAACCTCTGTTTGGCACTGTAAATATCAAGGCTATAGATATATAAACCTTAACGTGTATTAATACTTATTTGGCTGATTTCTTGTTAACAGTGCTCTAAGAAATAAAGGCTATCAGATGGAGGAGCGTGGAGAGATAGAGGTGAAAGGTAAAGGAAGAATGCAAACCTACTTCCTACAGAGGAACCTAAAAGTCACAGAGAGTGAGATTATGGGGCTTTTGGTGCACAACCCTGCTGACTCAGTCAGGAAGATGACTCATTCTGGAAGAGACTGTGCTTCACAGCTAACTCACTATAGGGCGGAGTCAAAAGGTCTGTTGAATATGTGTTTATTATTGGGTTACCAGTTGCATGGCGAATGGGTGTATATATTCTTAATCAGGCCAAAAATCCCATTCTTTATCGGGAGAACTAGATAAACTGTTTTATATTGTATTAAATATGATATTGTATATTACTTATATATATTATTATCCAATTTGGAACACACCCCTGTACATCCGGGTTTCAACCTGTATTCACCTGTCCCCAAATCAGTTGTATCAGTTGAAAATGATAGTGAATATAAAATAATCATAAAATTAAACAGCAGATATATTTTTTATTGCATTCCTTTTCACTGACATTTTTTGAGAAAAAACAAAAACAAAAACAAAAATAAATTGGTACATTTTATTACCTATTTTGCACCCTACAGTGAATATACTGTATGCTGTGCTTGCAATAAAAAAAGAGAAACAGATTTTATTGGTCCATTCCATATAAAATTATAGTTTTATTAATAATAAATAATTATAAATTAAGTAATGTACAGAAAAAATAAATTGTGTTACTGTTTTCTATATGTCATTGTTTTCTTCCTTTCTATCTCCTCCTTTCTTAAAGCTACACAGAGACTGCAGAAAGGAGACAGTTGTCCATTGGTACCAATGAAATATGGAGATAGTCCAACAGAGAGCAAACCTCCCGCACAGTCTATTGAACCTCAGAAAAGCAATATAACAGGTATCACCACCATGCAGTACAGCAGAAAATAAAATTATAATAAATGGGGAAGTCTGATCAATGTAATTTTGAGAGATAAGGGGATGTCCACTTCACATTTTTTACATTTTTACATTTATTTATAACAAATGTGTGCACTGGCATTGCTTATATTGACTGATATGTTCACTAACAGGTAAACCACGAGATTCTGAGAGTTATGGGAGCCTTTACAGTGAGAAAAGCTCATTGGAGGAGCTCACAAAGGAGAGCACACCCAACAAGACTGACAATAAGAAACCTTCAATTGATAAACGGAGCAAACATGTTCACACTAGGTTCTGTTTGTTATTCTGATCTGTTTCATGAGCCCAGATGTATCCAATATGTTACACTGTAACTCTATATGTGTTAATGTAATGGTAATATGGAAAATGGCTGTCTGAGACAATCTAATTGTCATGTACTAAATTATGTGTAGTATTGTCTACACTGCATCCCATCATTTCAACTTTTTTTCAGATATTTTTCCCTTTTTTCTATTTTCTCAAATGAGGGTCCCCTGGGCAATACTTGATATCAGGAGCGTGACCCCAAAAAGATTCTCGGGACTACGACCTCAAAGCCTCTGGACTGTCAATGGCACTGATATCATATGCAGATTTAAGGGGGCAGATCTTAAAGGGGCTATATGCAGAATTCAGAAACACTTATTAGTGACACCGGTGGCCATTAAGTGAACTGCATTAAGTGATCATGCTCGCACTCGTGCACACAAAACACACGAGAAACTGAACGAGATTCAGTACCCTTAACCCGACACACTCACTTCTCACACTCACACTCACACTCACAAACTTGTTTTTCATTCTTTGCTTAGAATTAAAAAGAAATTGTAATACATTTAACCAACATGAACAAACAATGAGCAATACATTGTTATAATATTTATTAATCATTGTTAATGTTAGTTAATAAAAATACTGCATTGTTTATGCATGTTTGTTCACAGTGCATTAACTAATAATTAATAATAGTGTATAAGTAAATGTTTAAATTAATATTATCTAAGATTAATAAATTTTTTTAGAAGTATTGTTAATTCTTAGTTCATGCTAATAACTAACTTATGTTAACTCATGAAGCTTATTGTAAAGTGTTACCGAGACTATAGACTGTAAAGATCTGGCTATGCGAGACTATAGTTTGAATTAATCTTTTTTTTTTTTTTTTTTTGCATGACACATTGACATTACAGTACAGAAAGCTCTTTCTGTATTATCCTGAACATTATATAAGCATTCGTTTTATGGGGCTCTCGGCAGAACAACCTTTTGATTTTCCCAGCAAAAACGTCCTGGCACCTCTACAGGCTTTCATAGACAATCTAGTTTTTTTTTTTTAATAAGCAGTTCACACATTGGCAACAAAAAAGCTATTAACACATGAACATTCTCACATATAGCCCAATTAACTCACTAATAATAATACTAATAATAAAGTGTAAACCTTCCTTTGGCTTCATTCTCTTTCATGTAGCAAATGAGTCACAGCTTTAATAGTATGAAGATTGCATGCACTTAGTTTTTAGATAAACATGTTTTGAAGTCAACTATGTTAAGTTCCAATTAGGCAAGCTAAGATTTCAGGGAGAAATAAAAACAAAATGACTCAAACAACTAAAGTATGTCATTCAAAGCGCTCTGTGCTAAACTCGTAGAAGTGGGCAGGAAGTGCATGTCTCCCGTGGCACTTCACACGATCAGAATGTGTGTACAGACACCTGATCCATACGCCAGAGCGAGATTGCCAGGTCTTCAGACGAGACCACGAGATGACTTGAGTTTCTTCAGCTGGATTATTTTGAGAAACCAAATCTGTAACAGGAGTCAAAGTGTTGAGGTCAGGTGTAGGTATTAATTCACCGCAGGACTCACCTGCAACGTCTTAAATGAATTAGGACAGAGTTTGACCACATTACTGAACCTCCTATTTGTCAGATTCACAAACATTCCTTTCACAGGCGTTTCTGTTTCCTGCTAGTAGTTTGGACCTCACGAGTCAGTTTCAGCTATAGTTTTGAGTTCACAGGTGCTCCTTTCAGGCAGGTGCTCGGCCAGTACTGGTCGATTGGTGTAAATATCATCCACAGGCAACAGGAAAGTTACCGTCTTGACTTTGGCTCTAAAATGTTAAATAAAATCATTAGCATACAAATTAGTAAATCAATCTTTCAAACACAGCTCACTAAAGCCTAACTCACCTGTTTTTGTTGACAAACTCCTGAAGGGAATGCCTGTTGGTTAATTTCTCTATGTCTGGTTTTGAATAGGCAATAGAAGGAAGCCCGAGTGAGCCATCATGTAATGTCTCATATAGTCTTGGCTTGTCCAAAATCTCCTTCTTTCGAGAGCCGTTCATGATATTTGAGGATATGGAGTATCTCCGCACGGTCATAATAATGTTTTCTATAGAAAGAAATCAGAGAAGCAATAAATTAGTCAGGAGAAGGGGGAGGAGGAGGAGGGGGAGGAAGAGAGGGAGGAGGGCTGGAGGAACAATTTGTCAATGGAATCACGTGGTGTCTGCTGCTTATATAGTGCAATTGAAGAGTTCAGATGCAAAAGCCTCTAAGTGCCATTTGAAATTTTGTTCTAGAATGACCATTTTTATCAAGCTTGTGTATTTAAGTTCAGTAATTTCACTTAAATGACAATTAATAAGTAATCTTCATTGCCATTTAAGTGAAATTACTGAATATACAAGCTTGATAAAAAATTATAATTTTAGAAGAAAATTTCAAATGGCACTTAGAGGCTTTTGCATCTGAACTCTTCAATTGTAATGATAATTGACGGGACTGAATGTTTTAAGCTCCTCTCAAACCTACGTTTGGAACTTCATTTCATGAGTTTGTTTGCCCATTCAGCCTTAATGGTTAAAGGATTAGTTCACTTTTGAAAAAACGTTTGCTGATAATTTACTCACCCCCATGTCATCCAAGATGTCCATGTCTTTCTTTCCTCAGTCGAAAAGAAATGAAGGTTTTTGATGAAAACATTCCAGGATTTTTCTCCATATAATGGACTTACATGGGAACCAGACGGTCCGAGGTCCAAACGACAGTTAATAACAGTTTCAGATGCAGCTTCAAATGTCTTTAAACGACACCAGACGATGAATAAGGGTCTTATCATGCGAAACGATCGGTTATTTCAAAGCTTATTCCAAAAATGTAACTTTTCTAAGGACAAATGCTAGCCTTGCTCCATTTTGTGAGGCGCGTTTGTAACGTCACGTAATACGTAATTACGTTCAAAAGGTCACGGGCGACGTAGCCAGAAGTACAGAGTCTGGAGTCAGAGTGTTTACAAGTTGAACGTGCAAACTAACTCAAACGCCGTTTACAAAAAAGGTAAAACAACGATGTCGGACGATTTTGATTCTGTACTTCTGGCTACGTCGCCCGTGACCTTTTGAACGTAATTACGTGTCACGTGACGTTGCAAACGCGCCTCACAGAATAGAGCAAGGCTAGCATTTGTCCTTAGAAAAGTTACATTTTTGGAATAAGTTTTGAAAAAAACGATCGTATCGCATGATAAGACCCTTATTCATCGTCTGGTGTCGTTTAAAGACATCTGAAACTGTTATTAACTGTCGTTTGGACCTCGGACCGTCTGGTTCCCATGTAAGTCCATTATATGGAGAAAAATCCTGGAATGTTTTCATCAAAAACCTTCATTTCTTTTCGACTGAGGAAAGAAAGACATGGACATCTTGGATGACATGGGGGTGAGTAAATTATCAGCAAAAGTTTTTTCAAAAGTGAACTAATCCTTTAATTGTAAACTAACTTGGCTTGCTGTCCTTGGAGGAGTCTGATGTGAGAGCGGTGGCCGAAATCACTGGTGCGGCGGTGGGATAAAGTTTTAATTTGGAGGCTAATATGAAGGTGCTGGCCAATTCTCTGCTGCATAGTGAGAAATAATATATTTTTAATTTAATTAAACTGATAGAGCGGTGGCTGAGATCAATACTGCCAATGATGATTGCTAAAAGATGAGTTTTAGGTGTTAAAGGGATAGTTCACCCAAAAATTTTAATTAAGTTATTGCAGTGTCAGGGTTCTGCCCTGGCAGCTTTGTCTGTGTTGTCTTTGTTTCATGTCTCTATGTTTGTGTTGTGCTTGAACTTGTGCTTTTGTTTGTGTTTGCCATGTGCTCCTTTGTTCCTGCCTCCTTGTTTCCCTGTACCACGCCCTCTTGTCTAGTTGAGTCCTCGTTTGCCTGAGTGTCACCTGTTCCCCGTGTTCTCTGCTCCCTTGTTTGTTTACCTGAGTGTGTACACCTGTTCCTCTTGTTCTTAGCTCCCTTTATATGTGTGCTCTTTCCCTCATGTGTTTGCCAGTTCGTTAGATGTAATACTACTGTGTACTTCATCGTATGTTTCTTGTGACTAAGGTCTACCGTGTTAAATTTGTAGAAGTGTTTTGTGCATTGATTCTGTCATCTGTCCTGTCTGCCTAGTGTGCCGTGTCTGTAGTTCCAGTCCTGCAAGCAGAGTGTCCCTGGCTGCTTACAGTCTTTGCTTTGGAGCAAGCCTGGTGCTGAGCCTGAGATCCCTGAGTGCCTGCTGTAGTTCTTGGAAGTTCCTGTCTGGCAACTGCTAGTATCATCAGGTCTCATTACTACTCTCCAGCTACCAGTCATCGTGCTAGTACTACTGCTGCTCGGCTAGTTCCTACGGCTGTCATTGTGTCTCATCCCTGCCTATTGTCTGGACTTGTTCACCTCTCCCACCACATCCTGCCATCTGTCTACTGTCTGTCAATAAATCTGTTAACACTCGTTCTGCATTTGAGTCCTCCTTCATAGACCCGTGACATAGGCCTGAGACGAGAGTTCAAGAGATTTCCACGACGCATGTGCGAGAACTGCGATCTTCTTCTAGTACTTTTTGTTCAGTTTTCGCGCATGCGTAGTGAAAATCTCTTGAAATCTCGTCTCAGGCCCAGAAGGACGTTATTCAAAGTCGTTATTTTTTTTGTTTTTTCGCACAAAAAGTATTCTCGTCGCTTGATAAACGTATAGTTGAGCCACTGTTGTCACAGGGAATATTTAAATGTTTTCTTCAATGACTTTCTGGGCTGTCAAGTTTCAATCCCTTAGGGTGCCTATGTGGTAGTGATCCACCTCTAAAATTTAATCAAAAACATCTTCATTTGTGTTCCGAAGATGAACGAAGGTCTTACGGGGTTGGTACAGCATGGGGGTGAGTAATTTTCGGGAATGTCATTGAACTAAAAATAGAGTAATAGACTGTTAAGGCTGAAGAGGGCTGGGTAGATTAAAAAATAATACTGGGTGTCCATGCATTCGTTGATAAATTTTGCTGTACTTAATGTTGAATCGGATTGTGCCGCTGGACCTGAAGATCAGAGAAAGGAAAATGAATCTGGGGATCGGATTTGGAGTTGCAGGTAAACTCGCGAAAAGAAAGTGAGGATGAAAAGTGGAGGTGGGGGGAAGGTTTTGGATCATGCTTATGATTCTGTAATTTTTTTCTTTAAGCAGCGAAGCCCGGGATTTGACTGAATCGAGATTAGTTCCAAGGAACTCGTTTCTATCCAAAAGTCATACGTTCGGCGTAAAAAAATGTTTGTTATGCTATAAAGAGATGCCATAAGGTTTAATGGCATAACTTTGAAGGGTGATGTGATGTCGAGTTTAGCTAACCAGGCTCTGTGACCAGTGGATTTAATTAGCTGAATTGCCTGGTCTACGCCGTGATAGTTCAAAGAGAACTCGGACAGACGGATTAGGCTATTGATGCTTGGAACGAAGCAATCAGGGGAGAGATTGATAATTATGCACTTTTTTTTTTACTGAAAACATTCTTGTTGCTATTCCATTGGGGTTAATGGGGTAGACGTCGAATGGGCTGGGAGATTGAATGGGCCGATCATGAAGTTAGAATCCACATCCTTTGCAAGGAGAGAATCTACAGTGTCCGGATCGGTCAATGCAGATTGTTACAATCGAAAATTATTACAATCGAAAGTTGCGTCTGGTAGGCTTTTTAACCAGGGATCGACTTTTTGTAAACGTCTCGGGTTATGACTATAACCCTTGTTCCCTGAGAAGGGAACGAGACACTGCGTCGATAAAATCGACTCTTTGGGGACGCTCCCTAAGCGTGCGCCTCTGAAGTATGAATGAAACTAATCCAATCCTGATTGGTGTTGCGTCGTGACGTAACATGTGACGGCATACCCGGAAGTATAAAAGTGACGCTGTCACAACACACACTAGCCTCGCGATGAAGCAAGACGCTCAAGGGTCTGAAAAGGGGGCGTGGCAACACGACGCAGTGTCTCGTTCCCTTCTCAGGGAACAAGGGTTATAGTCATAACCCGAGACGTTCCCTATCGAGGGAACTCAACACTGCGTCGATAAAATCGACTCTTTGGGGAACGAGTACCCACTAGGCCACGCACCGAACAGACCCGCCCCAGAGTGAAACTGATTAGGCACTCAGCAAGGGCCGAGTACGTGTGCACCGGGCGTACTGGGAAGGCTGAGACTGTAAAACCTGATGAAAGTATGCGGGGTAGCCCAGCCGGCTGCCTCACAAATCTCCTGCAGAGGTACTCCCGACAGAAGGGCCCTAGAGGAAGCCATGCCTCTAGTCGAGTGAGCCCTTAAGGCCAAAGGTGAAGGAACCCCACGCACCTTGTAAGCCTCAGTAATAGCCTGGACAATCCAGTTACTTATAGTTTGTTTGGTCGCCGGGAGCCCCCTCTTAGGTGACCCAAAGCATACTAACAACTGGTCAGATCTTCTCCAAGAAGCAGACTTTTCCAAGTATACACTCAAAGCTCTGACGGGGCAGAGCAAGTGAAGCCTCTTTCTCCCGCCGACACATGAGGTGGAGGATGGAATGCCTGAAGGACTACAGAGCGAGCCGTACTCGAAGGAACTTTAGGCACGTAGCCCGGACTCGGGTGCAAAAAGGCCTTTACTTTGCCAGGGGCAAACTCCAAGCAAGCTGGCGTTACCGCCAGGGCCTGGAGATCTCCCACCCTCTTAAGAGAGGTAATCGCTAAGAGAAAGACCATTTTCAGCGTTAAGTCCTTAGGCGAAGCCGACTCTAAAGGTTCGAAGGGAGCGAGGGACAACCCTTCCAGAACTATTGCCAGATCCCAGGCAGGCACCCTGGACCTGATCGCCGGCCTCATCCTCCAAGCACCACGGAGAAACCTAATGACCAACTGGTGCCTCCCCAGAGGTCCACCATCTACTGGCGCGTGGAAAGCCGAAACGGCAGCCACGTACACCTTAAGAGTGG